AATAAATTTTGAATTTATTGAACACGCGAAGCGAGATTTTAATACAAACTTGTCCTGCAAGTTTTCATTCGAAGTCTTTTAATGAAAGTAGCGTGTTATCGTTGGAAAGTTTATAACGAGTAATAGCTGACGCACTTGAAGTCATACTTTGCACTTGAGGAAGGTTCTTGCCTGAAAAACTCTATGCCTGTAACCGTTCAGGATCATTCGTTGATAAGAATATAGTTTTTCGTTCTCAAAATTTTATTTATTCCTTTAGTGGTTTTTGTTTTGGTAAAAAGGGGCAAACGAACAAACGGGTCACGTGATGCAAGTCAATGGTATGTCGACTCAAGTAACTTTATTCGCTCTTTTCCGTGATCTGTGATGATCCGTGACTGTTTGTTATAATATTCGATGTATCTATCTATCTAGCGTATATTACACATTACTGATAGTATGATGGACCTGTTGGTGTAGTGGTTAGCGATCCTAATTGCTGAAATCGTGGGTTCGATCCAGGACAAATAATATCTCCAATATAATTTTTCTACAATGTATCTGTATTAAGAAATAGTCTGGTTACCATAGTACAGGCTCTGCCTAATTTGGGATCAGAGGGCCGTGTGTTAGAAGTGTGAGATATTTGTTTAAAAAATCTATGTTAAATTAACATGCGTAGATGAAATACTATTTGTTTCATCACCATGACCGTGGTAATTTCAATGTCATATAGTAGATTGGGCAACGCATATAATGATGATAACTATGATGACGACAACCATTTACCCAAGCCCACTAACGACATAAATAACAAAAGAAAATAAAACACAACGGTTTACCTTGGGCGAGGAATAAACGAACTCTTTCACAATAAAATCTCACACTCTGTTATATCATGGCGGTCATCTTTACTTGGAGGACCTCGACTATAAGATTGCAATATCAGGAGGTAAACATCATCATCATCAACAGCCTTTAATGGTCCATTGCTGGACACACGCTTTTCCTTACAAAAGAGATTTTGGCCTACTATACCACGCTGGCCAGATGGTTGGTACAGGGTTTGTTTCAATTTTTCCTTCTCTTTGCAGTGCTGTTGTTCTGCGTAATTTGTTTCCTTAGACCACACGAACAGGGGTGTGGAGGGCCGGGTGTCATGTCCTCCAACGCAAAGGGTGGGTCCTCCGACGAGGTAAGGTGATCATGCCTGGCGGGCAGCGGCGCAACGGTTGATATTGGGAAGGTTAACAAGTGCGTTGCAGACCCTTGACGTGTGCCCGTCCGGAGTGACTGCTTAGATGTCCACGTTCACCTGATAGTTTCCTTAGTGTGGACGACCAGAGGCCCCAGATTCTCTGACATTAGCGCAGCTGGTTGAGCAGTTACAACTGGTAAGCAGCTTCGTTACTAAAAGAATTATTGTATACAAGAAAAGTAATGAACAGTGAATACATTTTTCACCTTACGCCCATGAGGCGAAACAGCCAAGCCACATATTTTGAGGTGTGGGTGTTTGTTAAGTGAGGGCTTAGGGCGTGTAGAGTTAGGAGTTTGGCTCTACATAAGATCTGATATGTTAATGACAATGTGAGCCATATAGTCTCGTCTTGGCAATATTTTACATGAAAAGGGTTTTGGTGGGATTTCACTTCTTTTTGTCATTTTTTTTGGAGTGTTGGTATTTCTTGTACATCAGAGGTGCCTTTACTCATGGCCCACTCGCCTTCCTTCCTCCTACTTGCCTTTTCATCAATTTTTAGAAATCTAGCACAAAAAATTTGCGGAAGTCACGAGACTTCCGCAAATTTTTTGCAAACTTGTAAGTTGTATAATTTTTGTTGTTGTTTGAGTACCAATACTAGCTTACCCCCCTGTGTGGGAACCCCATGTTCCCTCTGCTCCCTGGAAGCGAGCGCGCTTCGCAACGCACTCGCCGTCACCCCGGCCTGCTTCTGCAAGGTTGACAGATTGCCTCACCTGTCACCCCCAGGCCTGCGCTTATGGAGGACGGAGGTCGTTCTGCGTCAGGAAGTGCCCTAAGAATTTTGATGATCATCAGTAAGTCAGTGACGTAATCGGGTTTTTTAATTATCAATGAAATATTGACATATATTGAATATTGAATATACATTACGTCCCTCATAGCTCTTGTTCTTATTCATTTAATACAAATATGTGTCTTTCATATAATTTCTTAAGCTTTCTACCTTTTTTTTTTTTTTTTTTATTTAGGATCTTTGTGTTGTTATTTAATCGAACCTTAAACCAATTATTTTGTAATAATAATGGAGCTTAAGTTTATTATGTGAATTCTTTAGTCTGTTAACATACTCATATAAACTTTGTAATAGAACGTTGTGTATAGTTATAACTGGACTTCAGATTTAAGTATTGTATATTGTCAACATAATTGTGTATGTGCTAATCTGTTATCTGTTACTGTACCTATTAGATAAAATAAAATAAAATAAAATAAATAAAATAATCTCTGTCTTTTTGCCATGCGAAAAATATTAAACTCGTTTGGTGGGTAGTGACATCTATATATTTTGTTAGTAAACTATATTGCAAAGCCGATGTTGGAAAAGAGTAAAATGAATGCTTCTAAGTTTAAGCACTCACCGCTAGATGTCATTGTTTGAACATGACAAACCAAAGTAATTCTTTCGTTGCTTTTTACCTAGTGACTGTGTAACTCTTGAGTCGCCTTCGTCATTCGTCCATGGGTGGGGCCCATTTATACGTGGGGCATACTGAAAGTATCTGAATCTGGCCAATAAAAGAATGAAAAAACAATTATGGAGTTCGAAAATGGAACTCTTTGGAAACATGTTACTTTTTAATTTGCGAGACTGTCATTTTTTTTTATTGTGACGTCCTTCGAAAGTTCGTGTCGCTATCAAAATGAATTAACGCGCGAAAATTTTCGTTAAAAAATGATCTCTCATTTAATATAATGTCCTTCTTCACCACGATAACGCATTCTTCAAATGTTGAAGTGATGACGCAACCGCCTTACAGCCCGATCCTCGCACCATGCGACTTCTTTTTGTTTCCAAAAATTAAAGACAAACTTAGAGGCACACCTTTTACGAGCCCTGAATCGGCGGTGAATGCGTTCCATGAAGCAATTGAAGATGTACCTAAGTCTTACAGTCCTTACAGTAGTTTCAGCGGATGCAAAAAAGAATTAATATCGAGGGAATATACTTTAAAAAACTATAACTGTAACGTAAGTCTTATATTTATTCTTATTTATCAGAATCCAGAAACTTTAAGTACGCGCCTCGGAACTCGGAACTAACAGAGCCTGTAGAGCGCCTAACTCGTTCTCAGTTCTTGTCCCTACATCTTGTTTCCATCCTTACCATTTTCTTGTCTCATCGTTCCTGTCAATAAACTAAACGGTCTATATATTTGAATAAACTCAGGTCATTCGGAGGGGAACACCTAAATACTCCGAAATATTTTATTCCGTATTTAGATGTTCCAATTTTCAAAAGTTAGAATTTCATAACACCTAAAAATTATAATGTCTATTAAGAAGATAATTATACCTATAATGTTTTATAAATATATAAATAACTAACTTTACTATGTACAAAATTGATAGGTCCCCATTGCAATGCTTGGAAAAGGCACTAAATAAAAATTAAGGAACCTTTTTAATTGGAACACCTGAATTTATATAAACATAGATGCAAAAAAAGTAATTCTACTTTGACTTTAAAGGTGTCAAGAAGGGAATAATAAAACCAATATATTAATGCCTGATAACATATTTAATACACAGAAACTTTGAAAGTTCAAAATACTATTTTGACTACTTGATAAATGCTTAGAATATATTTATATTACGTAATAAATATACAACCACTACAATATTATAATAGCAAGCATTCTATATACTATATAAATTTTAAACTTTTTTTTTTATATATATTTAAGTGTATTTCTCTGAAAAAGCAACTTGTAAGTTATATTTTTATTGGTAATATTAAGAATAACAGTCATTTTATTATTGAAAAGCCGCGTGGCCTTAAGATACATAAGACTACATTTTATATAGTTTATCATATAAGTTTATAGCATAAATAAATACATTCTACTAAGACTTTGAGAAACGAGAATTTTCATTTTTATTGATAATGCACAGCAGTATTTCAATATGATACGTTATATTTAATAATTACATTTTGTAATACGTTCTAAATTCATTCAAATTTACTACTCTAAATTCTTTTCAAAGTTTAATACACTACTCTAAAGACACTTTATTTCTAAATTTAGATAAATTCTAAATTTTATGTGATACAATAAGGTTGCTCTATGCCGCGATAAACTACAGTATGCTCAACTTTGAGTCTTAAAAGCCTTGGAATATGAATCTAAATCATTTACAATTACGAAAATCTATCACATGAAACACATTATACACTAACAATGTTTAATTGAGATTATTCAGAAGTAATATTTATTTATTGCAATTGTGTTATAAACACACTACATTATTATTAATTTATAATAAAATATAATAATATAGAGTATTACCACTGAGCATTGGACAAAACTAACTTATTTATTCAAATTTTTCCCTTAAAATAACTAATAACACTAACGAACTAATAACGTAACAAGTAAAGCGTTGTGCATTAACATAATATTAACTTAACCTTTTCCAACATAAAGTATATATTACTAATTATAAAATACTACAAAGAAACGATAAATAGCCCCTTTTAACCTTGTGTTAAAAAATTTGATGTCACTTAAAAAAAACCCTATTCTATTTTCCCTAAAAAACAAAACCTATTATATCTTCAAGATTACATCGATAAAAGAATAATTTATAGTTAAATACATATTAACACTAGATATTATACAGAAATTTAGCTAAAAGGTCTACTTCTCTGATTTCTTGAACATCGTTTAAGTTAAAAAACGCAGTTGCCGTTGAAATTTTAAATGCTATTCAGAACAATTTCTAATCTAATACTTTTAATTTGACCCAGCTCGTCTTATTTCGTAATTTTACCTTTGTAGTGTAAGCATTTTTTACAAATTGCATCGGCTTTATCTTTGATAGACTGCGTAGACATGGCTCTTTCACTTTCTGGTTTCGGGTCTTCCCCCTCAAAAGGTCCTTCACTGAACTGCTGGATCAACTTTTTAATGTAACTCCCAGGACCTCTGATAGTTAATTTTGTATTACATTCTTCAGTTTGTTCTTTATCCGCTGTATTTCTATATTCGCTTAACAATTGTAAGCCATCTTGAAAATTTTCGAAGGCTTGGGTAATTTTATCTCCGATATTTAATTTCTCTTCGATTTCACTGTAACTAGATTTAGATGCTTCAATTTCATCAACAATGTCATTAGATTCTGTTGGAGTGATAACAATTTCATTATTTTTGAGATCAATAGTGATTTTAGCGTCTTCTAGTGAAAGTCCAGAGAGTGAGACGTCGACAGATTTGGATCTGAACTGTCTAGTTGGCGCCAATGGTATTTGCAACTGGTTTGTGTCCATGTTGTGATCTTGTTTAATTGTGTTGGTGGATGTCACTGGTGATGATGTTAGTGAAGATTTGTCCCCCGGACTGGATCCTGGAGTTTAATTAACTTTGTAAAAAAAAAGAGAATGATTGTTTAGTTATATATTTGTGTATCTATAAGAAGATACAATACAAGAAAATATTTCAGGCTAGTAAAAATATGTTTAAAGAAAAAAATATTTCTAAGATTCCACCATAATTATATGTAAAAATGCAGTTAAGGTAAATAAAAAATAATGGGGATTATATAAATCAATACACAAAAGTTTATGGTTCTCAAATTTATAGAATTTGAGTGGTTATGGTGTAAAAAATATCTCAAAACATAAATTTATTTATATAAAAGTCTGATTGGGGCGAGCAGTTACTGCATGTAACTTCGCTCCTAACTACGCAATACCAACTGTCAATATGTTTTCGTTAGGTGGTATTCAAATATATTTTTCTTTGTATGCGAAATTGGTCACAGAGTTATTTAAATTATTATTTTATTGACTCTTTCCTCTTGCGAGCGTGATTGTGAAAAAATCAGCTAATAGGTTTAATATATCTTCAATTCAAACGGAAACCTCCTGCACCGCAGATTTATGTTGACCTTAATAAGATTACTTATACAAAGATTAATTTAAAAAAACATAGAATATGACATCGTCATCATCATCATCATCATCAACAGCCTTTACTAGTCCACTGCTGGACATAGGTCTCTCCTTAGCAATATACTGGATACTGTTCTGAAATACCCACCACCATAAAAATTTTAATCGAATTACCTCAATCACAAACTCGCTTCGATCAGGTCAGATTTGACTCCTATAAAAAGGGATTTAATTTAATTAAGAGTAAAGTAATGTAATTCATAATTACCAATTCCCACATATAGATATCCCTAAAAAGGGGGTTAGTAATTAGTTATTTGAGACTAGGAAAGGGATAAAACATATTGGAAAAGTATCACAAATATAATAAGGACATTTTCAGAAAATAATTATGAACGTATATGGGCAGGGTAACGAACATAAATGGGATTGGTGACAAAAATACCTGGGAAGGGAAGCGAACTTAAACATATGGCAGGAATTTTTACGTGTCAATGTAAGTTGGTGAAGATTATGATAATTTTTATAGCATAGACCCACCATTAGAAATATCCTCTCTCTCCTCGTCAAACTGCGGTAGCGATCGCTCCACCATCAAACCCTGCACCATGTCCATACACGAGTCCAGGGACAATTTCTTCCCGCACATCTTGATGCTTCTGATGCGTCGGCGCATCTCTATTAGTGAGTTAGTTTTATGTAAGTGCTGGGTGATTCTAGTGTAATGAATGGATTTTTCATAAATTATTTTTGGCACCATCTTGAAGAAGTTCAAAAAGAAATACCTCCATTCACCAAAGATTATAAGTACTGTTAGTAAAGCATGTGATATATTTTATAAATATTAGTTAAGTTAAGTTAAGTTAAGTTAAGTTTATTAGTTAAGAAAATAGTGACGGATCGATCAAGCCCTGTACCTAAACCTGATTGTTCAAGGGGCGGGGCTTGTTCGATGCGTCAATATATTCTTATTAAAATAATACTAGTTAAGGCAATTTCTTATTTTAGGAACGGATTAATGCATTAAGTGGGATATAAAACCTCAATCACAATTACGACAAGCCTTATTCATTACGCAATAGCGTAATAATTTTTGTGAAGTGATGTTCGAAGAAGAAAAGCAACTGATCATCTGCTCTTGACGACCTTACCCAAGGGCATATACCCTTTAGCCCTAGGGCGAACACACCACTAATTTCATTCGCACAAGAAAGGCGAAACTGTTTTCAGAATATAAGCTGCCAATAAAAAAAGTAAAAAAAAACGGTAATTTGTGACACTGAGGAATCGAATCTTAAACTACATACTGACGAAAGCACCAATTATTAACCAACTTGACCCCTTATGTGTACTTACCAGGGCTATCTTTGGGTTCCATTTTGAGTTGAGCAAAGGTCTGAGCACAAGAAGTCAAAATCTGTTCATAATCACATATAGCAGCGTGGGTGCCATTGACAATTTTAGGACTCATTGGGCTATTCGCAAGGAGAAGACTTGTCCCGAAGGTAGCATTGAGTTCCCGAGTCTCTGTAATGTTGATATAAATTACTTATTTCTACTGTATGTCTATCAAATAAGGCTTAGTATCTGGAAAACTGAGACTCATGGCTTTAATATTTATTGAAATTGTAATGTTTGGATTAATTTTGATCCCGATACAGGTCCTCAGTGAAACAAGATCCTTATTTACGGCTTTTTGCAGGACCCCGACACGAAACTAGCCAGTAAACCATTAACTACACACATATGGACAAAATATCACTACAGTATATATGAATACTAGCTGACCCGCGCAACTTCGTCTGCGTCTCTCAATAGTCATAAATTTTCTCCGTTTTTGAAACATTCTTCATTGGTGCTCCGCTCCTATTGATCTTAGCGTGATGAGATACAGCCTATAGCCTTCCTCGATAAATGGGCTATCTAATACTGAAATAATTTCAAATCGGACCAGTAGTTCCTGAGATTAGCGCGTTCAAACAAACTAACAAACAAACAAACAAACTCTTCAGCTTTATAATATTAGTATAGATTAGTAACGGATTTTAATATCAATCGCGTTTATAAAATTTGAGGACTTATTTTAATATTTCAGTAAAATACTTGTAAAACCCAAACTTGAGTAATAATAATAATAGTAAAAACGACTATAAGTAATAATTATACAAAGATATTGATGATCTAAATTATTCTCTTTTAAAAATGTAACGAAAAATATTTCATATTTAAATATTTTTTATAACTAAGTCTCTTGTTAAGTACACTTAACAACTTCAGCTGTTATAACACACAGAGGACCAAGTGTGAGTTCATTTCACATCTACTCGATCGTCACGGTGACCGCATTCGGCGCTGCGATTGGCCCACACTGAAATCTTAACCAATTGCAACGCCCAACGCGCTCACTGTCGAGAGGGAGTTGGTGTGAAATAAATTCGCACTAGGGCCTTGGGTCAAAAATGTCTTCTTGTAGCCTGGTGAGGTCCTGGTAATTTGTAACACAGGCATTCCATGCCACCAGCTCCACACATATGAAAACTTCTCTTTCTGTCTTTGTTTTTGAAAATTTTGTAGACTAGACAATGTAATGTAAATAGCTAAAAGTATATCGTTGTGCGGCAATACAGAAAATATTTTTATTATTAGAATGAAATAAGATGTAGGTATTCTTTTTTATATAAAAAATCCATCTGTAAAAGTAGAAACACTATGTTCCATTTGTTTTCCTTAAAAATGAAATGGGACTTTCTGATTAACCAATTCATTAATAATAATTAAAGGATTAAAATTGACACAAATAATATAGATATAGCGTAGGCAAAACAAGAACTCCAATCAAATTGAGAACCTAAGAATCAAATTGGAATTAAATATTTCAGGAAGGCTACCTCTCAGAGAGATCCTGGGTTTCTTAGGCACCACTATATTGCCGTCTTCGGAACCAAATACATCCATCAGTATTTCCTTTGAAACTGTCTTTATCTCGTTCCAGTCATCTTTAAAATGTAAAAAAATAATATTAACTCAGAAATCCTGATACAAGAAGGTAAATACAATTTAATTCGACATAAATATATACTTAAAAATGGTGAGTTGGTTTGTGTACGCTTCTAATCTCGAAAAGTTCTAACAGATTGATCTAATATTTTTGACACGATGTACAATCCGCTTCAAAGATGGTTTTTATCTATTTTTGTATGTGTGTGTGTGTATCTTAGTTGTTATCAATGCAACCATGATGTGCGGCAGCAATGCTTCGCAAGGTACAGCTAGTAATTTTTAAATTATACACTTTTAGGTTCAATTGTAATGTTGATAAAAAAAAAATCTAACCAAATACAACAAATATGATTGTAAGTTTTAGAAAAACAAAAGATACCATTCATCTAGAGCAGGGATTCCCAAACTATTTTGGGACAGAGACCCCTTCTCTAAAATGAACTTGTTACCTCAGACCCCCATAGTCAAATTACTGCATGCTTTTCAAGTCGATAAGCGGAGTTTGTTAAAAGTACAACGATGATACTTCCTACTAACATATTAGTCATTCTTATAACACGTAGGTATACGTAATACAACTAACACAGTATCTTGAAAGTTTCAAATAAGGAATTGGGCACTAATAAACTTACCCAGAATATCCTGGTTGGTAGTCCTCTGTGACGTCACAGTAAACCTGATGACGTAGACCCCTTTGAAACAAGCCGGTACAGCGTGCATGTAGCCGCGAGCATTTAGACGCTTGAGCAGGCGCTCAGTGAGAGCATTATCACCTTTAAGGCGAAAGACAACCATTCCTGGAAATAAAGTATGTTAAATCAATTTGTACCCGCTAGACATAGCGAGAACTTTATTTGCGCGATACAGGATTAGTTTTAACTTCGAAGGACGGTTGCCATAGATGGCATTGAAGTATGTTTCTTCCTTGTAAAGAATAATACTGACCTAAATTTCTCGGTTGTGGTATTTCAAATCTTTGGTCAGCTAGCACTAGCGCTTCGAATTTTTGCGCCAAACGGACACTCTGTAACAATCAGACAGGACTTAGTCTCTTGGTGATTAGCGTTACCAGGTCGCTATGTATCTTATATTTTAGGTAGCTGATGTGTCGCCCGTTGACACCAGTGTCTCAAGCGTCATAAGTTCATTACCAGTACGTCACACGAAACGAAAAAGTAATGAAATTAGTTTTCATTTCTTTAAAAAAAAAAGGAACGCAAACTAAGCATTAGGAATCCTGTGTCCCAGGGGACTTTACAAACATACGGACAACGGACACAAAGAACGCCTAGACTCAGAGCAACAATTTATGGATCACACAAAGCGTCGAGAATTGTAGAAAACTTTCTTTAATTGGCTTACGTAAAAAGAAAATCAATTATAAAATTAAAAATATACACAAAATAACCACCCACCTCGCGAATATGCTTCTGTAATCCAACAACACCATAGTTTCTCAGAACGAACCATAACTTTAGCGCTCTGAAGCGACGACTCAGTGGTATTTGCCAATGCTGCAACACAATTTTATTTTATAATTCGAACACAAATTTTATAGTAGACAAGTTAAGATTCCTGGAGTACCCGATTAATTTTAGAAGGCCCATAATAAAAAAAAAAAAAAAAAAAAAATATTTACAAACCGTCGATATTAATTTCACTAAATTTCATTACCTAAGTTCACTCTCACAATTGAAAGGAAACTAACAACATGTTCCAGAGTATGTCGAAGAAATATACGCATAAACATACAGGTACGTGGGTAAAATACATTTAAAAAAAACAAAAGCCTCTTTTGGTCACAATCGGGTAATTATTCGGCTTCTGTCCACCCTTCAGAGATATAAGTTTGAGTGTATTGTATGCATGCACTATATACAACGTTAAGTCTGGATGTGCAAAAGCTCACCAGTTTATTGGTTAGTTTTAGATAACCTTCACCTTATTTTGAGTCACCTGTCACAAAAGCAAGTAAGGTACCAAGAACCGCACTAAATATTATATAACACCGTTAGAACTTTATTAAATCCCTATCACCATCACCGACACCATTATCACTCTTTTGAAAAAATCTTACGAGTAATTCCTTTTTATTGGGATCCTCAAGTTGTATTTCTTGACCACAGCCTTTTGATATCTTAGTGTATCCGTGAAGATTTAGATTGTCACCGTCAATATCATTATCACTATCACTATTAAGATAATCATTTGCATCGGTATCCCCATATCGGGAATCACCATTAGATGTAGTATTTGCATTTTTTTCCAAACCATATTGGTGATTTGGCTTTTTATTTAAAGGTGCAATATCTTCTGCACCATTAATGTCACGTTTAACATGAGTTTTAATAGCTTTGGTATTTATTGTTCTTAGAGGCTTTTTCTTGAATTTTCCTTCCTCACCTGCGTCCTATTTCATTAAAAATATTTAATAAAAAATTAAAAATGAAGTGTCTTTTACAAATTGCATCATTTTCTTTTTACTCAGTTTTAATTAAAAATAATTTAAACTATTCGCTATGAAACATTTGGTACGTTACTTATATATACGAGTATGATATACAGTATCATATATATATATATATATGCTCATATTAGAGTCAAAATAAATTAAGTTCGCTGTCCAATTTGTACTGGTAGTGGTATTCGTACTTCAAGACATTAATGAAACATTCTACTTATTTGTTAAACTCACCATGTAATCAATGGCTTTGCCTGAAAACAAATAGGAAAAAATATATAACTGATATCGATATTATTGAGTATTCATCTACGAGTATAAGTATAAATTAGGAGCCATGACTGAGTGATTCATCAACGCAGAGCCTCAACCGTTGACTTGAAATTTTAGCATCTGATGCTTTTTATGTTGTAAGCCACTAAGCAAGGATTTTTTTGAAATGTTACCCCAAGAGGAAAAAATAAAGAATGAACGGTAGTATAGAAGTTCATTATTTTCAAAATCACGCAGACTAAGCCGCGGGTAATAGCTAGTCAATACTAAAAGCATAAATACAGTTATGTTTATATATGTACCTGAATTTTCATGCCTTAAGTAGATAGGATTCACGTTGAAGGTGCGGTGGAGTGCAGTGCTGTCTTTAACCCTGTGAAAATTTATAAAATTCTTAAAACCTATTACTATACCATCTTGCCAGTTGTTCTTTATACAAAAATCGTGGTGTTTATTAACCTTGCCTCTCCACCTCTTCAATTTTTTAAGCCAATTTACTTTCTTTCTTATGTCTGTATACATCTCTGATCAGGCACATTGCCAAAAAGGATTAGCTATAAGCAGACAGCCGGTCACAAACGCCACAAGTCAAAATCCTCTGCGATGTTTTTGCACTATTACCATTGCGCTGATCGCAATTGCAAAATTGCAGGAAAAATACAGGAAAAGGAAGGGAAGGAAGGGAATTTTCAATGTGAGACTTATAAAGGCCTGACATCAAATTTGTATGCAAGCTTGATCCCTATTTCACGTAATGGTGTATTTTACATATTTATGCTACGCTGTAGATGTTTTTTGTTAAAAATGACTAATTTATATAGGCCATACATTACTAGTGTTCTCATTAATTTCCTCGGGTAATCTTAATTCTTGCGGTAGGGTGTGGTGGGTTGCCATAAGTAGGGCATGGTGGGGTTCGAATCGAGAATCACTCGATCACAAGTCTTATGTCTACGCCATTGCACTACCACTGCTTTAGGAATGTATCACAAATGTATATATTTTGATGTGTATATGTGTATATATATATTTTTTTTTTTTTTAAAAGACAACTCCCGCATTAGGAATAAATCCTGTGTCGCGAGGGACTTTACAAACATACATGAAACGGACACAAAGAACACCCAGACTCAGAACAACAATTTGTGGATGACACAAAGTGTCGTCCCATGTGGGGTTTGAACCCACAACACTCGGCGTAGTAGGAAGCGGCGTGGCGACCGCTTAAACCACTACGCCATCCGTGCAGTCAATATTATTTTGACGTTACGATTAAGTTGATCAGGCTCAGCAATCTGTTTTTTTTTTTTGTTTCAGAAGGATAAGGGGTCATATATAAGAGTATCTTACCACATAGCCGTACAATCAAAATTCACCATGAGCCATTTGGAAGGGTTGAAGGCGAAGGAGTCAGCTAATTCAACACCGTCAAGCCATTGCCTGGAAATAAATGAGCCAAATATTAATCTCGTGGTGAAATAAATAACATCCCATTAGTTTTTTATTAGTTTTTCTACTTCTCTCTCTGTTGTCTCCGACAAAGGCTTCGGCATAAATAAGCCGTTTTGACCAAAGTGATACTACGGCCTCATAGAAAACCGGTGTTCAGCAATTTTTTCGTTGCATTTCACCGAGTGAATGTGGTTCACATCACATCCACAGCCTTTAATAGTCCACTGCTGGACATAAGCCTCTCCTTAGAAAGGAGGTTTTGGCCTACTTTACCATGCTGGCCAGACGGGTTGGTATAGGGTTTGTGTCAAGTTTTCCTTCTCTCTGCAGTGCTGTTGTGCTGCGTAATTTTCTCCCTTAGTCGGCTCTTACGACACCCACGGGATGAATAGGGGTGGTGACACTATGTTTTCTTAATCCGTCACCACACGGATAGAGAATGTGGTTACCGTAGCCTAAATTCCACCTCCCCCTGGATCTGGGGACTCTGAAGGGTGGCATCGTAATTCATCATCTTCAGTCTATTGCCGTTCATCGCTGAACGGACCCCTAAGGAGCACAAACCGTCTCGGTCTTGGCCAATCTACATCCATTCGCTGCCAGCCATTCTCCTCAGGCCGTCAGTCCCTCGTACAACGTACTTATGACTGTTGAATTACATGTGTGTGTGTGTGTGTGTGTGTGTGTGTGTGTGTGGACGGTGGTAGACACCATCTGGAGATCCGTCTGCTCGTTTGCCCCCCTGTACCATAAAAAAGGTTTGCAATAAGATCTGCAGAACTTTTACGTTCGAGACCTTCTAACTTATGTAATACAAAAATGCCGTGTGGTGTCGTGGGACACCCGATAGGAACGAAGTTGTGACGATCGAGTAAAACTGATTCGACACGATTTTAATTACAACGCCATCTATGAAAGCGGCTATTACCTACATATTTTTCAGTTGGTTTCTAATTAAAACAGTTTATTTATTGGTAAAATCTCCTTGAGAAATGATTTCCTATCTATTCGATAGATGGCGCTGAATGACTGACAAGTGACAATTCAAAATAAAAAGTGTCGTTACAACTTTTCGTGAGAATCTTTTCCGTCCAGCCCCCTTCACAACGCGCGATAAGGAACTTCGTTCCAATACAAAAACATAACAAAAACAATACAAAAATAAATAAAATAAAATAAATGGTTTAACATCTTAACTTATACCTATAATTAAAACGTTATTCTAATTTAACATTAATTTTGAACTAATTATTGGTTCGCTGCCACAGCGTTGTGGTTGCATTGATGATAAATGACGAACAAAACTAACGCAAAAAATAGATAAAAACTATCTTTGGGATATATATCGTATCAAAGTTTTTGAAGTGTACACAAAGTAAATTAACTAATTATAATAATATAATATAATAATAATATAATATATTTTACTACATTCACACAATGCCATCCAGTCCCAAACTAAGCAGAGCTTGTACTATGGGTACCAGACAACTGATATAAATACATATATATTATTTTTTTTGTAAATACATACATATTATACATAGAAACACCCAGACCAAATCAAACATTAAATGTTCATGCACACAAATGTTTAACTTGAGCGGGAATCAAACCCGCGACCTTTGGAATAGCAGTCCGTTACACAAACCACTACGCCATTCGGTCGTCAAATATAAATATATAATAAACAGTTTTATAATTCGTATGTATTTAGAAACGTGTAAGTAAATTTATCAGAGGTTTGAAGGAGATGTCTAAACGCACAGACAGAAACCAGATAATTGGGTACCAGTACAGGCAGATTCAGCAAATATAATGATAGCATACCTGTATTCAGGGCAAATGAAGCTGCTGCCAGCATAAGCAGCATCCACGTGCAGCCAAGCTCCGTACTTCTCGCATACTGTCCCAACTTCACGAAGGTTGTCAAACGCCACTGATCCTGTAGTGCCTAGGGTTGCACACACCTGGAAAATAACTTTGAATTTAGTAGTAAGGGTAAGACCCTGAATAGAGTCAAAAAATTTGCGAAGGATGTAAGTGATTTCTTTTCTGATGAATCATTTTTCTTCCACGTTTTGTGATCTAGACACAGGAAATTAAAATCGGTCGAGAATTTGTCTTAGTTCTTGATTCATCATCATCTCAGCCGAAAGGTATCCACTGCTGGACATGGGCCTCTCCCAAGGCTCGCCATAGCAGCCAGATATCATAACAGTACTACCTAATTAAATTTAGCAAATGTAAAATACTCCACAGCTCACCCTCCTGGGGTTAAAGCTTACATTAAAAAATATTATTTATCATAAATCTAACTTGTCAAGTGCAGCTTAGTTAGAAGACGCAATGAAACTTAAGTTGATTAAAATTTAATCGAGAAATTATCAGTACAGGCGGCATCATAATTATTACAGATACATTGTCGTCTTGCTGGAAGAGACAGGCTCTTAAATAGCTTACCTGCGCTATATCTTACTTTTAAAAACAAATGTCGGACCTATTGCTCTAATGGTTAGGGCCCTGACTATTAAGCCGGAGGTGGTTCGATTCCCACCCAGGACAAATAATTGTATGATAACCCTATGACTTGTTCAGTGTCTGGGTGTAAATTATCTATGTATAATTAAATAGCTCCCAACTTAGACCACATTATAACATATGTATGTCTTTAGAAATATATAAGTATGTTTATCAGCAGTCTGGTTTGGGATGAGACGGATGTGTGTGAGAAGTTATTATTACTATAGTTTTCTTTTTAAATATTATGGGTAGTAAACGATCGAACGATCTTCTAGTGGTAAGTGTCAGCGATAGTCACTTACTCAAGAGCCACGATTGCGTTCGCCACCTGGTGATTCGTTGAGGCAACGGCAAAAGGAAAATATATCTTTGAAAGGGAAAAAATATCTTTGAAAAGGAAAACATATCTTTGAAAAGGAAAAAATATCTTCTTTTTTAACTAAATTATTACTTTCTGAGGTAATAATTTTTTTCCCATTTGAGGATATTATAAACCAGTTTTTTTTTTAATAGCTCTAATAGCATACTGTTTTACTGATGGGACACATTTTAGTAATAAAATTTTGTTATTCGTTGCTATCTAGAAGAGACGCTCGTGTCTAAGTGGTAACCGAGTAGGTGAACACATCGCAAGTTAAGCAATCTTAGCCAGGTCAGTCTATGGATGAGTGACTATTTCTCAACACATTGAGACCCCTCCGTGCCTCGGAGAGCACCTTAAACCGTTGGCCCCGGTTGTCATATGAGAATCTGTGGCACTCGTCCCGGATAGTTGCAGTTCTAAAATGTCCGACAATCTATCTACAGAACTTCGATATCGCCTTGTACTTGGGTTGTGTAGGACTGACGGCGGTCGCGGACGTAAAAAATTGAAGTTCAGAAAAAAGGTCGAAGGAAGAAGTATCTAAAATAACGCAACCGCCTACAGCGGGCACTATTTGGAGCAGTATTCGATTTAATTAAATAAATAATCAATAAATAAATATTTGGGACATCTATAACACAACGCCATCTAGTTTCAAACTAAGCAGAGCTTGTACTTATGAAAGATAGATTGACTGATAGAATACTCATATACTTTTTTTTTGTAAATACATACTTATTATACATAGAAAACACTCAAACTGAAACAAATATTTGCCTTAATATTTGAATCGAAACCGAGACCTCAGTACAGCAGTCGCATACGCTACCTACTACACCAACGAGGCAGTTAATTTATAATATCAGAACTTTAGGGCGCTTCTAGTACGTCTATCTATGTACACATTATATCTTAACGCCTTTGTAATGAGGCACATTCTCAGGTAAACTAATCCTATATAAGTAGACGAGGCCATATTAGATACGATTAAACGATGTACAGTCAGCAACAAATAGAAGTGAACACTGATCCTATGTCCCCGTTACTTGTTTGTTAAAGCATCAGCGGTTTAGTATTCATCTAATCTGTCTTCTTCATATATTTTTCTCTTTAATAAATTAAAATGAAATATTTTTGAACGTATTTTTAAATTATATGTTTCACACAGTTCCCTTTTTTCTGTGCGGAAATCCCCTTGGATACCAAAAGGAAAGGAAAGACTAAATCCGGACTTCGTCTCAGGACCAGCAGCCGGGTAACCAGGTGTACCCTAGGAAGGAAATTCCCGGTACCCCGACTTAGTAGAGTTCCCTTTTTTTTTTTTTTACGTGTGGAAATCCCCTCGGACCGTCACCCCACCGGGGTTTGCGGCGGGGTGGTGTGTCGGACTCGGACCGACTAAAACCACACGGTGTGCCACTCTGCGCCTGTAATAGGAGGGATCCGGGAATAGCTGTTAACCCCGACTTAGTACAGTTCCCTAACGCAGCCTGCCCCAATATCTACTCAAATAGACAACGAGATCTAATACCTACGATGCACCTAATTGACATTAATAATGTTAATATGAAATTGTTTGTTTGTTTTTTTGATTATTCGATCAATTATAAAAGTTCTACCGTCATGCCTGTCATTCAAAAAAAGTACAGTCCCCGAGAGATATAAATGTAATTGAAAAAACTTAATCCTCGAGCGAAACTGTTGAAGAACAACTGTTTTATTTTGATTGAGTCTCATTTCCTAGCTCTTCTTATAATCAGTTCATATCTCAAGAGGCTCCCTAGGAAATATCGCTGGATGCTTTTAAATTAATACATTCATTATTTAAAGATTAGTCTGCTGTCATTTTTAAACGAACTCTCCGTGGGACCAATTTGTGTTGTAGACAGATTGCAATACAGGGAGCTTAGGACTTTAAAGTTTGTGGTCTAAGTTGCGTGCTATTGAGTTTTGCGATATTGTTATATTATTTACAAACATTAATGTTTTTCTTTGAACATCGCCTAGTAGTTAATATATTTTATGTGCTACATAGTGCAATGCATGGTAGTTAGTCTTTATATTTTTGAAGTGAAAACTTCTTTAGGCTCGTTGGGCATTTTCGAACAACAAACAAAATAATGTAATTTTTGAGATTGTTAAAAAACCGACTCTTCTGTATATAAGTATTTACATATATTGGTCCCGTTTACACGAGATTTGAGTTTGGGTTGAAATACATTGATAATATTAACATATATTGTGTATATAGGTACAACGTAGATATATATTCATGTCGGAACTTTTCGAATCGAAAAAAAACCATTTTTTTTTCCTGTTATAATCAACATTTTTCAAATTTTCAAGTTTTCACTGTTTTACAAAGTTGACATGTAGTCGTAATAAGAGATTTCAAAATTATGTGGACACTGAGGTTATAATTTATTATCAGCCTTTACTTAAAACATGTCAGTGAAATTTGCCTTGATGAAATTACTCCTACTTATAAGACAAATAGATATATAAATATATACATTATATATCATAAGATCTCAAGATGTATTCAATATTTACTTACTATGTTAAATTTAGCTTCTCGGAATAAAGACGTTATCTTTTTAATGCTTTATCGACAGAATAAATGTTATTAAAAATAATAAAAGTAAATGTACGAATTAACACGCGAAGAAAATTATATTAGCCTTTAGGCTTGTGTTAGTGGGTTCGTGGGTTCACATTGATAGTCACGCCTGTGTATATAATTTCATTAAAGATTTCATTTTTAATATTTAGATTGATTTGACACACGCGCAAATGACTTAGACCACACAAATACACAAACAAATAAGAGAATATTTGTATTAGCTAGATTTATACATATAACCTTTAAGCGATTTATTTTGAACATTGCAAATGTACTCCTACATTATATTGTACTAGGAAGAAGGCCAGGCCTCGGCTCGTTGAACAATTCTTTCGCTGCTTTTCACCAAGTGTTTGAGGTTACCGGAGCCTATATATAGGGCTATATAGGGCTATATAGGGCGGCACTTCTGATTCTTGTGTTCATGGGTGGCGGTGTGGAGGAACGGTTGTCATGTCCCTCCAAAGCAAAGAGAGGATCCTCGACCAGGCGAGGTAATCAGGCCTGGTGGGCCGCGGCCCAACGGTTGATGTTGGGAAGTTGTTTATATGCTAATTAGCGAGAGAATTATTCATATCGCGATATAGGATTAGCAGTTACTCCGTAGTTCGGTGTGACTTCGTTAGATGGCGCTATAGTGTGTTTCTTCGTTTTACCGTATGTGGAAGTCACTACAGTGGTATTTATTTACCATCAGGTTACCCGTATGCTGTACGTGTTTGCTGTGTGTTTGGTTATTAGTAAAGCTTTTTTAAGTATTTTAACCGCTAAACTAGTTCCGCTAAACGATATTTGAAGAGTGTCAAAATCACACATCGGAATTGATCAGACAGTTACGGAACCCCCGGTACAAACAAATCTATAAGGATTTTGATTCAAACATGAAGGTCTTATATCACGTCACATCATACATCACAACAACAGCCTTTACTAGTCCACTGCCGGGCATAGGCTTCTCCTTAAAAGGGAGGTTTTGTCCTACTAATCCACGCTGGCCAGACAGGTTTTATATACTTTTGTTTCAAGTTTTCCTTCTCTTTACAGTGCTATTGGCCTACGTAGTTTGTTCACTTAGTCGGCTCTTACGACACCCACGAGATGATCACATATAGTATCATAGGTCATAATATAGAATTGATTAATTAAAAAAAAGGTTGATATACTCTAAAACCTTTTTAGGTTTAGGGTACTTAAATTATGTAATGAGTTAGTCATTACATAATTTAAGTACCCTAAACCTTTCGTACCCCGACATCCGATGTACTGAGTTTAAAGATAAAATGTTTAATGAATCAAATCTCAAACAGGAAAAAAGTACATGAAAAACACATTCTTATAACATCTTTCATCGGAAACGGGACGGAAGTGTGTAACAGGAAGGTAATTTTTTTTTTATTTGAGCAATGAGCGGCTTTTTCATTTGCTTGAACTGGCCGTGAGATGATAAATGAGGATGTCAGATGTTACACATTAATTCTATGCAACTACTGTGACGCTCACTTCCTTTTTCTCTTACTGCCTAACTTTTAATTTATATTATATATTTTATAAGACTCGTGGCTAAGTGGTAACCGAGTAGGACACATTGCAAAGTTAAGCAATCTCAGCCAGGTCAGTCAAAGGATGGGTGACCATTCTTAACACATTCACGCCTCAGGGAACACGTTAAGCCCTCGTCGGTTGCAATAGCGGTGTCAGTCAGAACAGTCCGACAACAGTATTTCTACAGAACTTCGATATTAAAAATCGAAGTTCAGCCGTATCGCAGTAGACTTAAAGCTGACCCCAACCTAGTTTGGGAAAAAGGCTCGGAGGAAGAACATATATTTTATGTAAAAGAAATATAATTAACTAACTTAGTTATATTTATTATTATTTAATGTCCATATTGAGTTGAAAAAATATAAGAAAAGACTTACCCAAAACGGAACAAGGCCCTTCGCCTTATCAGCGACGATGGCTTCCTCCAGTTTGTCTCCACGCATGCTCTGATGAGCGTCGGACTCGATGTACCTCATACGAACTAACCCTTTGGAGGTAAGGTACCGATAAATACTCTTTCGAATTCAAGATTGATCTTTTAAAAGGGACCAAACTATTTGAAAATAAACTGCTGAATATCTCTATGATATAAGGTATCAACAAAAACTATTAAAAATCCTTGCTTTGCAATATTTAGCTAAATATTGCAAAGCAAGGATTATTATAGTTTTTGTTGAAAGCTCTAATCTAAAAAATTGAGAACGTCTGGAAGATGTCAAACATCCAACTTATTTTGTAGAAATCAAAAAAGAAATCAGTTTTATAGAAAGCAGAGTCACTTGCGCATGGCAACGTGTCGCCACATCGCATTGCATGTTACATATACTATCAAATAGCGTGGCGACGCAAGCCGCGGCGGCGCGTCACCCCGCTTATAGCCCGTCTGACCCTCCATTAACTATTAGATGTTTCACATCAAAACTTAAATATGAAAATAGAATAATCTTATTTTACTTGAAAGCTCATTTTTAGGGCAGATTACCTAACGGGTATTAACCGTCATATGAGTATCATAGGAGTGATGGGCGGTAACGGCAAGTTTCATCAATATTTTAATTAGAAATTTTTGGTAATTTCTTCACTGGTTTGGTAATGTATTTTTTTTTATAAATGTATTTCTCATTATTTCATTCTTTTATAATATATTGTCAGTGTGTTATCAATCGTAAGGTTGTCAGTTCTAGCTCTTAGCTCTAAAGTCACCATTTGTATTTTCAACGTAATGTTCAAATAATATCTATAATTAGTAAGGTTATTTAGTGCAACTTTAACTCACCAATAAGACCCGCCTTCTCAACTGAGGAGTGTGCTTGATCCGAACAGTAGCATATCAGGTGGCCGAGCAGTTCCGCAGTCTGCACATCAGGGTTTAGTTTGGACAACTCCATAAGGGCACGAGTTCGTGCTGCTAGAAGACTTACCAGGGTTGCTTCACTGGCTGTTGTCTAAGAAAAAAAAAATTGAACAAATATAGGAATGTTGCCTTTGGTGTTTTAACGTTGCTCCTAAATAGGGCCTTCAGTACGATAAGGTTGCACATAATGCACATTGTATGGTAAAGATGGCAAACAGCAGACGGGTCACCTGAACGAAAGTGATTAACGTCACCCATGGACACTTGCAGCTGCCAGCCTTTGCGTGCTCTCCCAGAATAAGCCGGAGAAGTCTTGTGCAACGGAACGGTTACTGTAGCCATGTTCTGTAGTCCATGGTGTTAAATAAGGATAATCTATATATTTTCATCCATCTAATAAAACCATAACATCCGAGATTCTATAAAATTTCAATAATCTTTTCCGTCTTTGGAGATCGTTACAATTTTGATTACCTGTATGACTCCACCTCCTGGGCTATCGTCCTTCTCATTGAGGAAGCATTCAGGAAGACCTAGCAGCTTCCCGAGCCAGTTCATTGCTATCGTTTCTAGTTCAGTTCCGGCTGGCGACGAAGCCTGGGTAGAAATTTAAAAAGTCAGAAGTACTTATAAATTCAGGAGGCAAGCGTGTAGCAGGCACCAAGGCAACTAACCTGACTTTGTTTTAAGTATCAAGATCTACAAGATGTAGAGTCGTCATTACCTTTTTGCCCGTTCCTTAACACTCATTATAAAAAGTCGTTAATCCTGAAGATCCTGATCAGGATAATTAAATTATTGTATTGTTATCGGTCACAGTCCGTATGGCGACGGATTAAGAATACGAAGTGTCGCCACCCCTATTCATCCTGTAGGTGTAGTAAGAACCGACTAAGAGAGCAAACTACGCAGGAAAACAGCACTGCAAAGAGAATGAAAACTTGAAACAAACCCTATACCCACCCATCTGGCCAGCGTGGTATAGTAGGCCAAAAGCTCTTTACTATGGAGAGGCCTATATCCAGCAGTGTATTATTAAAGGTTGTTGATGTGATTGCCATACTTCGTATTCAAATGATGGATTGCAATTCAATCCGATGTTTTAGAGTGGGTGATAGTCACGTTCAAAGATTCGGTTACACAGATACATTCATAACAAGCTAACAATAGCGTGTTAAAAAGGGCTGAGACTTAGCTTGAAGAGACCCATGTCTGTTTTGTCATTGAAATAGATATACTCGTATATGTACATCTATAGTGTATAAAGAATATAAAAATAACTTACCCATGTAAAACAAAGAACGTTGAGGGCGCTGGAGAGCATATCCCCCATAATGGACGGGTATGATGTCAGTGCTGGAAAATATGCATGCATGTGCGGGCTTTGCCAGTGGACCAGCTATGGGAAAAAATGGGAATTTGAATAGGGTTCCTGTATAAAGTATAAAGAAAAATCGGAAACAACATTCATTTTTTAATTTTGATATTTTTTTGGGCCATCATCAATTTATTCAGCATGGTACTCCCACGGCTATTAATAGAGTATCTACTAGTGTCGATCCTGGTCCACAGAACCACTATCTAATCAATAAGGCATAAACTTACTCCAGGCATTATGTGCGTTTCCACATCCCTGATAATATCATCCCATTGTTCAGGCAATTGGGGAGCTTCTCTAGGGAGCAGCTTATGGAGGTACCCTGGTTGCACTCCTGGGTACACGCGACGTTCACGGATGTTCTCCAAGTAGTCCGCTATGTAGTCCACCATTTCCTTGGCTAGAATATTATTGATTATTTACAAAAGTTTCAAAGGGTTGACCGATGATTGAACTGGCAGTCTGAACCAGCGGTCATGCCTATTCATTTATTCTGGCTTAGTTATTTAAGTTTAGTTGTATAAGTTAGGGTCATTGACAAGAATATTGGTATTTTTTGTTGTATTAAATACGCTTGAATTGCCTTCAACTTGAATTATTGACAGACTGTCAAAGCATTAAAGGGTGATTCTTCGAAACACAGTTTTGACATGATTTTCGCTGAAGAACTCATTAAAATAATCTTCGTTTTCGACATACATTTTAGGTTTTATGTTAAAAGTAAATATCTATCGAGGCATGATATAGCTAATCGCAGTTCGAAATAAATAAAAAATTTAAGCCTTCAGAAAACTGTTAAAACTAATTAATCTGGCGCGTCCAAATGACGCTTTGGTGTTGATTTATACTATTTTTTGGTATAAATTGTCGCAATATAATAAAATAAGTAAGTTGTAACGATATTCCATTATATATTTAATAATATTTCCAAATTAAAAAACATAATAACTAAATAATCTTGAAGTGATAGTACTTTAAAAATTATCCGCGACTAAAGTAATCATTCATCTGGCCCAATACGTCTACAAGGGAATTCAACGTAACTCTAAATTTTTCCATGGAATAAACCGACTAGCGATCTTTCGCGCCAGTGAATGCCAGTCTATCATACAGAGCGCTCGTTCACGGCGCGTATTTTGACGAAAAAATTTGATATCAACCTGTAATCTGGCGTTTGTAAGGTAAGTAGCATAATTAATCTGGCATTGTTTATGAATAATATTGAAGTGTCTTTTAATGTTTTGTAAGAATCATAAACCCTTATTAGGTTGTATATTACTGTTAATTACTCCTATGATTTTAAGAGTTGATAAATAACTGGACAGGATTCGATTATCTTCAAATTCTTCATTAATCTGGCCCTCATTGGTCTGGATTTATCTGGCTCATAAGACCAGATGAATTTGGAAGAGGCAGATGAATTAGATTTCTATCACTGACCAACTAAGTTGCGTGAAATCAAAATGTTTTTTGATTTCTCGCAACATAATTAGTTGAAGGCTTGTTGAGGGCATCGCTTACTCTACTGACAATGATCAGTTTAGTCTCAATTTTCTTAACATAAACAGACTATAGTTCCTGTATACTAGGTTTTCTTTTCAGAACACTATTTTGAAATGGCAAAATCAAAGACGCAGACAAGAGCAGAAAGACTTAGAAAAAAGAGGCTTGCAGAGTGAAAAAGGATATGGAAAGAAAAACAAGAAAAGAATAAACCAAACTATATACGAAGAAAAGAAGAAAAGAAACAATTATCGATTAAGGAAATGACTCCAAGACATCAAAAGTTACAGAGAAAAAGATGGAGAAAAAATTACAAGTCATATTACCTAAGAAAAAAGCAAGAAAAAAGAACGGAGCAGCTGTTTACACAATATACACCACCTCAAAGTCCCAGCATCTTGTCAGACACTGAAATGGTGGTAGCTTCACAAGACAACATTCGAGATGCGTCACCTTTAGAAAACTCAATTTCAAACAAAGAACCGGATTCACCCGTACCAGGACCATATAGGATTTCACGCAGTATGTCTCAACAGAGCAACTCAACAAGCTTAGTAAGACGTCTGCGTTACAAGAAACATCTTGGCTTTTATAATTTTGCAGACGGATGTCAGAAAGACTTTTTAGTCACACCTCTAGCTGACTCAACAAGGGAACTGAGAGAGATTGGTGAATCCTTTTGGACAGCAAGACGTAATGTGATTGAAGATGGAAATCAAAAGAATAACCAAACAAGTAACACGCCAATATATAAAAGAAAAGGGATAAGATCGTCAGAGAAAGAGAGGACCAGAATTGAAAAAGAATCAAAACGAAAGATTAACCGAATTTTGCCAGGACAAAAACAAAAGCTAATGGGCAAGATAGTTCAAAAAAATGAAAATGAAGTGCGAAAAACACCAAAGAAAAACTTATTACGAGAGAATAACAAACCAATCGAACAATAAAAGACAATAACAGAGCAAAGCAGTAACACAAATCAAGAGAATGAAGATGAAGAATTTTATATTTTCGATATACCCAATTAACCAAACTTTCTTAAATCTTTAGGACTAAATAATAGTGATTGAAAACAATTTACCATATCAGAAGCAAATGAAGAAAAAAGACTCAGGAAGAATAAAGCAGAACAAAATTTGGAATCGGCAGAATGTCTTGACTTAGACAGTATTTTAGAAATAACATTTCCAACAGACAGTAGTAAAAAAATTTAGTATCGATTTAGAAAATCTTGCTCCATACCTAATGGACTCTGATGATGATGACATTTTTTAAAATAGATAAGTACCTAAGTACTTACCGCTCAGCGATCTCTTGACTGAAGTTCCTATTATAAAATTAAGGCTGATAGTATGGATAGATTCTCATTTTATTATATCTTGATTTGGCTAGAAGCAGGCGTTACTTTGCTGAAGTCTGTGATCAAGGAACTTGAGATATTTGACTGTTTTAGCGGATGATTCGCTATCATCCGCTAAAACAGTCAAATCAGTGTGGTACAACGTGCAGCATGCGATATACACCGCTAACTCTCCCGCTTCTAAACATGCTGGATAAGCAAGCAAGCAATACGAATGATACGTACGTTGACAGTGCTGACAGAAGATTTTTGTGGTGTCGTGTCGTGGTGGTGTGTATTGCTTGTTTGCTTTTTCTGCATGTTTAGAAGCAGGAGGGTGGGTGATGCATATCACATGTACTGCACGTTGTACCACACTGATTTGATTGTTTTAGTTGTTTGTTTGTGTTATCAAATTGCTTCTTTTTCGTTGATACATTATGTTTATGTTCTTATGATTTATTTCTAATGGCTGATTTCCACCCCTATTCATCCCGTGGGTGTCGTAAGAGGCGACTAAGGGAGAAAACTAAGCAGGACAACAACACTGCAGAGAGAAGGAAAACTTGAAACTTTATACGCTGGCCAGACGCCAGCGTGGTATAGTAGGCCAAAACCTCCTTTCTACGGGGAAGCCTATGTCCAGCAGTGGACTATTAAAGGCTGTTGATGATGATGATGATGATGGCTGATTTCACCAATGTAAAATAAGTCTTATCCGAGTGCATATTTGATATCAGAACGCCGAATTTATTCTTCGGATAAATTTATTCGACGTTGGTGAAATCGGAATAAGTGAAGAATTATTGTTATTTTTGCCATTGCATGTCATTGCAATTAAGATATAAGAGATTAAAAGATAATAAGTCTTGTTATAAAGTGTGATTTATTAATTTTAATCATTATAATTCAACCCAAAGAAACAGTTACAAATTAGAAGTAGTATCATGTATGCGTGGTGGATATCAGAATAATTAAGATTCACTTGACTGATCAACACAATATAGTGATTATATTTTAATTTTTTACAATAAAATTGATTCAAATAATATAAAAAAATCTCATTTATTCCTTATCTTAGTTAATAAGTGTGCAAAATCTCATTCTTCTGCCATCGTCATCATTCATCTGGCTGATTAATTCATCTGCACACTCTAAATCATAAATTACTGGGAGCAAAGCAGTGCCTTTTAAATAAATTAAATATATTTAATGAACTAGAGAAACTAATATTTAAACTTGTATCTACTACTAAAAATAAATTTAAGCCAGACGAATTAGTCATTTACCCTCGGTTTCAAAGAATCACCCTAAAGGCATCGAAATAAATAGTGCACAACAAACGGGAGTAACTGTTGGCTACAGAGTTCCCTTCCGCTGTTGTGGTGCGTGACAGCTTTATCATCATTGTCAGCATAAATGCTTGATTTGTTTCGCAATTTGAATCATCGAAATTCCGAATTTAAAATTTTCGAATTTCTAAATTTAAATTTCTTAATTTCGAGTTACCTAATTATGTATTTCTTTACTCCAAATTTTTTAATTATTATTTCGTGTAACACCTACTTTATGAATTCCGAATATTGGTATTCGGAATTTATAAAGTAGGTGTTACACGAAATAATAATTAAAAAAAAAATTTAAATGCCATTTTATTTAATGCCGATATTTTCATTGGTTGCAATTGTATTATTTAATTTAATAAAAAAAGTAGTATAGCTAAATATTTAATTCCCCACAGTCAACTAAGAAACCTTTTAAACTTAACAACTATATAAAGGATTTGCAGCGTATGTCCGAGTCCATCAGCGTCCACAAAGAAGCCTTTGATTGAATGAAAATAGAAAATGAACACTTGCGGTCCGATAGTATCAAACAAATCTAGTGGAATGTGGTCCTCTACTCTGAGGACTTGGATAATCAATCAATTGATTAATTCAGAAAGAAAATGTCAAAGAAAACGAATGAAAATGGTAGTAGTGTAATGATTAATAAGGGTTTAATAATATTTTGAATAAGTTTCTTGTATGATCAGTACGCTGGAGTGGAAGTATGCCGGTCATGTCTGCGGACTGATGGTCGCTGGAGCCGACATGTTCTACAGTGGAGACTGTGACTAGGCAAACAGTGTTTATGTCAAAGGAGTGAAAGATGAAAAGCTTTACACGTGTAACATATGACGACACGTAATCGGACAAAATATACACGTGAGTAAATCCTTATATCATTTTCTATATATATATTGATATATAATATATCATATATTGTTTCTTATTCCGTGTTTCTAACTTTAAAAATGACGGAACTTCCATACAACCGTTAATTCATTATTTTACCCTGTTATTTGTAGAATTTCCAAAAACCCTTTCTTAATGGGTGCTTACAATGCGGACAACCTAAGAGCTTCGACGTTAATTGCTGCTCTGCTTACACCGCATGGCGAACGTAACGGATGTTATCACGTCACAACAACATAAAAGGCCAAAATATGAGGTTTGGAGCCCCAGCGGCACTGCGTTGATGAATTAGTCAGTCAGTCAGGAGAAGTTATTTTATCA